TGAGATAAGAACAGTTTAGCAATTGACATAAAATAAGATAATGATAATGACAATAACAGTAAATAATTGTAATGAAAAGGGGAGAGACAAAACCCAGGAAAGACAAGTGATGCAAATGCAAACAATTGCTCACCACCAACCAACTGATGCCCAGTCAGTCCCTGAGCAGCAGCCCCGCAACCAACCGCACCCCTCCTTTTACTGAGCATGACATCATATGGTCTGGGACATCCTTTGGTCAGTAGGGGTCAGCTGTCACCAACGTGTCCCCTCCCAAACTCTTGTGCACCCCCAGCCTCCTCGCTGGTGGGGTGGTAGGAGGAGCAGAAGAGGCCTTGGCTCTGTGTAAACACTGCTCATCAGTAACCAAAACATCCCTGAATTATCAACACTGTTTCCAGCGCAAATCCAAAACATAGCCCCATACTAGCTACTATGAAAAAAATTAACTCTACCCCAGCCAAAACCAGCACATGGATACTCTGTTGGACTCTCAATTAATGACAACATTTATAAAAAAAACAAACAACACTTCACCTTTACAAAGCTCTTTCCCATTTTCTTTCTTTTGCCTGGATGTTAGCAACAGTTAAGTGACTAGAACATTTCTAAAGAGAGAACTTAATGAATCACAACAATGAAAAGGGTCACTTAGTAATAAATCTCCATTGTTTAGAGCACCGTTAACCCTTTTTTTCCTATCCACATACTCCTTGATGACCTGGATATTCCAATAACATTGACAAAAGCTAGGAAGTATCCTACAACACTGAATTTGAAATTTTTACTTCTGTTCAAAGTGAGATACAACTTTTATAAAAGGTGATGATCAGTGAGGTCATTGCAACTGTTTAACAAAACCAAACAAAACTGAAGCTCTCAACTTCCTACCTCCCATCAACCAAAGACTTCTGCAACCCTTCCACCATTCCACCCCACACCTGCCAGCAAACAGAACAATTCAGGTTTGAGACTCTGGGCTTCCTGAGCACGAAGCCCCAGGCAGATCAGAAATATGGTCTGAAATACTGTCCTTCATCCACTATGCTGTTCCTGATAAGAGTTCCCACATTGACAGGACAGCTCTGAAATACAAGAGGCATGCGAGTAAAGCCAGTTTCAGATTTAATCCTGTATCTGTGCACCAACAGAGATGTTTCCGACTCCAGCCTGAGGCAGGCACCCAAAGGCCTGTCCAGCCACACGGACTTTTTTTTGCACATCCTGCAGTAAAATGCACCTGAAGAAACCAATATATCTTAATGACTGTATTTCAGAGCCCCTTTTCCACAGAACATCCACAGTCGCACCAAAGGCTATGTAAAGCATGGTCCATATAATTACACAGTGGGAAGAAAACAACCCATGAGAACAGCAACAACAGAAATTAGATACACTCAATCCAGACAAGTGACGGTTGCTTTTTGTAACCTTGACCTGTGATAGTGGAAAAGCCGAGAGATAAAGCTCATTCTCTGTTAACACCTTCCCCATGCTACGCTGATTACGGCTCTGGAGACTATCTCTGCATTAAAGTCAAGCTTGCATCACAAAGTTTAAGACCACCGCTGCAATATGGAGAACTCAAACCATCACAGTTATGTGAACCACAGAAGACCTTTTCAGTGACTTCCCCACTCTACTATCCCACTTCTTCAGAACTTCACTGCCGGCAGCAAGACAGCAGCTCATGTTAGCACCCCAGTGAGATACCTGAGGAAGGAGGAAATGGGTTTGAACATCTTTATTTCAGATTCAAACCACAATATTAAGTCAAAGACTTTGCAAAGTAACGCTTCCTTTTATAAAGGCAATTACGTGTTGACAGTGGTACAGATGGGAGAGCTGCTTGACCTACAGCCTGTTTAAGCACCAGCATTAACCTTCCCTGTGCTATATTGAGGAACGCTTCGCTGCCCTATCTCTCCTGGCATGAGCTCCTCTGCCCCATGACTGCACTGCTGGGAGTAGCACCAAGCTCCGGCACCAGAAGAGTTCATTAAAACAGCTTTAAGGGCAGGTAACGAACAGCTCGGGGTGAGAGATAAAATGCTCCTGGGGGGACCAACTGAACGAGCCAGGGCCGTCTGTTTGCACAGGAAAGGCTGAGCTCTTGTCCCAGCCCAAATCTGCAGCAACATAATGCTTAGCTCTGGTTCCTGGCAACCTCGTAAACCAGCAAAAAAATAAGGTAATGCTTAAAATGGGGCAGATTTTATTAATCACAAAAACACAACACTCATTATTATTACAGGATGTGGTTTCCAATTTATCTCTTAATCTTAACACTTACAAAGGCCAGTAGTCTCATCATTACAGGCGTTACAGTGGTCACAAGCTCTGCAGAGGCAAGACAGCTGATTTTTACAGAAGAGGCAAATAAAAGTCAAGCAGCCAAAAGAAAGTACCAAGAAGGATGCAGCAGGAGATCTTCTATTTATGTACACTGACTTGAATAATATAAGAATCTCTATCCCTCTATTAGTGCGTATGTGGAAGTACCATGTTTTCCATCACCCACAAAACTTTGGTCCCAAGTACACTGACATCTCACATTCCCAAAACACTTTTCATAATTGTAAGGTATTAATCTGGACAACGGTAATTATCATATATGATAAAATGTGCTCTAGCTCTCTAATTGGCTTCCAGGAACTGGAAATGACATTTTTTACTTTTCCTAAAAGGAGCTCAGTAATGCTATCCATGATAAAAACAACTACCAAACGGAGTTTTCAGGATGAAACTCATGCAAGATTAAAAAAAAAAAAAAAAAAATCAATAGACAAAATTAGCAAAATTAAGTAATCTTGAATCTAAAGTATTGGCTTAAAAGAAGAAGAGCATATAGGATGCAATGCAAAGGTGTCAAGAATAAAAGGGTGAAATTTGGGGGAAGCAATTTTTCCTGAGAGCAGACAAGTGTATGGAGATCCCCTGACATGACTGTATTGCCTGTTATTTCCAGTCATTTACTTCACAGAGATCAAACTCCTTGAGGATAAATTCACAGGATACTGTTTTTAGTTATTTGAAAACAACCTCAAGGAGCCTATACATGGAAAAGGGAGTTGACATCACTTTGAAGAAGGAACCTGGTGAGGTTTGGGATTCGCCTACCAATGGCCAGCCCACAAAACTGTTCTGTCGCCCTTTTAAAAAATAAAAAGACCAGGAAGATACATTTTTCTTTATGTTCTGCTCACATCTAACAATTCTCAGATGAGCTGAGCTGTCAATTAACACCTCATGAAAAACAAAACTGATCTTAAAATGTACAAAGCATTTCTACTGAGAGCAAACAGGAAGACTAAATATTGAATTTTCAAGGTCCTTGAGTTTCTCTTTTTGCTACCTCCCACCCCCCCTGCTTCCTTAAGCTACCAAAATTTGTTTGTTTTGAAAGGGAAGTGATTTACGTATACACCTGGCCAGGGGAGGAAGAGATGAAAGGGAGTCATTGATGTATTAACAATGTTGTCATCAACTTATTTGCATTGTAAAGAAACACTATATTGAGTGCCATATAATCATTATTTTACACCAGGCTACATTTGACCTCAGACAGTCCTCCTCACTATCATGTGGGGATAAGGACTTTTAAGTACACTACTACAATATTACATATTAAATACAAACCCACACAAAACGGTGGGAAAATAAACCAAGTCAGAAGATAAGACTGGGAAAACAAAGCCTCCAGATTAGTTAAATCATACACTGTTCAAAAGACATAAGGATAGTTTTATCCTGCTTTCTACCATTCATGTGTTTCTACCATACCACCTACATCATATATTTACACACAAGTTTCATTCTCTTTTAATGTGTCCTAAGTTTAAATTAAGTTTCTTCAAAGTCAAGGTGCATTCAGTAGGCTATTGATTTAACAAAATTTAGGCAACATTTAGTTTCGAAATACAGAATGGGGTGGTGTACTCCAGGAAAGCCATTCTCCCAAAGTCAGGTCACCCTACATGGTGTTTTAATATTGATACAAGCACAAGACTTAGTAAAGTAGAGAATAAATTCCAATAAAAACTTCCAGCTAGTAATTAAAAGTAGGTAGAATTTAAAAGCTTCCATGGCATTAAAGGTCAGTGTGATCCATTATTCACAACACACACCACACACTCACGACATAGAGGTCTATCACCAACCCTGATCCTTTTTCCTTTTTTCCCCTTAAAAGCTACATTTGAGACCAATTTTCCCTCCAAATTTTCCACCCTTGCATCCAGCTCTACCCCTTCTTAGGGAGGTCTGTGGATAGGACCATAAGCACAGGATGGCTTCATCAGCTAACCCTGCTCTGAGCAGGGCAAGGCAATATGGAAAGTAAACGGTTACAAACCTGGCTGGCAGCTTTGGCACAAATTTAACACACATGCATACACCCCCACAAATCCAGGTCTAATTTGACAGTCCCCAGGTTCTGCAACAAAGCTGCTATTCAAGAGCGAGAGGAAGCTTGTTCCTTATTAATGTAGCCATCGAGGTTACAATCTTCCAGAAGACTGATGTAAACCATTCCCTGCTGCAGCACTCACAGCACGGCCCAGCCGTTCACTGCTTCCAGTTCCTCCCTGCCACGTTTAAAACTCCAACCAGAAAAACATTATCACAGTGGGCAAGCAGTGCACACCGGGAAGCCCTATTTTCCACACAAGCATTTTCTTCTTACTGCCTCTCAACACATCAAGTCACAAGAGCACAGCCACGCACTCAAGCACACTTTTGGGAGGAAAAAATAAAAGCAGAGGGATGTGTGCACAGGAACAACATTACATGTCTCAAAACCTCTTTAAAATTGTCTGCTTGAAGGACAGAGGAGCTCTGTGACTTACCTGAATGTTACCACAGACCATTTGCAGGTGAATTAATACAAGTAATGTCTTTGGGGAGCAAAAAGAAAAGGAGCAGCACCTCCAAAAAAGGGGGGTTGGAAGCATTTTGTGTGAATAGTAGGAAGGAAAAAAATGTTTAAATTTAGTACTCACATATAATGGAGCTTGCTGTGGATTAAGTTTCATGACCTCAGAACACTGAAACAAGAAAAAAAAGACAAGTTTAAGATACTTTTCATAAAATTTTAGGTACTTCTTCATAAGCTGCTTTAGTGTGCGTACATTACTTTTTCCCATAGTTACTTTTACACAACAATTTCCTATTTTCTTTCTTTCGAATCAACAAGGATCTTTTTTTTTTTTTTTTGATTTATGCTTACATTAAGCAAAGACAACTCTAAAATGATTCGTAGAGCAAAGTGCTCCTCATCTGAGCCATCAGCAATGTTCGCACTGAGGATATCCCAAGTGAAACTTGCTTTCCCTTCACATCCATCTCAGTTCCTCTTTCCTCCTAACAACCCTCACTTTGTATCTGCTTTTTATGACAATTATCAATACTTAATTTCTATCTGTCCACCAATTCCCTCACTCCCACCCAAAAATGCTTGTAAAGATTTGTAGTTCTCTCTGCTGCTGGAGAAGACCAATTAGTCTGGTGAATACTACCTTGCCAAAGTTAATTTAGTGCCAATTTTTTTCCCCTTCCACTGGACTGTTCAAGAAACATTTCAAAACTACATAAAAATCAAACTATCAAAAATGCTGCTTCCAAAACTGAGGGAAAACTTACAGATTATGTTCATGATTCTGCATCAGCATTTTTCATAGTAAAAAACTACCATTTCTCGTCCTACCAAGGTGAATTTAGACAAGAAACTTTCCTCTCTCAGGTCTGCCCCTGGAATTTCTATATAATCTGGAATCAGTTGAACCAGGATTTCACTTGCTTTAGTTTCTCTATTGCAGTGGAAAATATTCACCCTAAACGAAAGCTGTAAGTTTTCGTTTAATGTGTGTATTAAGCAGTCCAGGATCCTAAGATGAAGGAATGCAAAACAATTAAAAATGGAATTTCTGCTGTTGCTCATGTCTGCAGTACTGGTAATGTTCTGCAAATACTTCAAACCCTTTTTAAGAAGAGATGAAATACCACTCTGCTTTTCACACAAAAAACACACGATCTTGTTCATACTTCGTTCCTCTCCAAATCCCACAGTTTGCCTTTAGTGAGACAGAAACTAAACCACAGCCTAAGTTTTCTTTGCTTATCCCAGCTATCCTTGCTCCCTCACACGCTCTCCTTATTTTACAAAGAAACGTTTTTGTACCAGTTGCTTTAAAATGCCTGAGCTACCTGCCAAGCTTGCTCATCAAAACACAGTCCCTTTGCAAAAGGTCCTCCAAGGCAGCCAGCGGACGGATGAATATTTTGCAATAGTCTTAAATCTAGTCCAATTCATACCTATTTTGAACCTCAAGATTCCCCTTCCAACAGCAAGAATGCCTCAAAATGGTTATGCTTGATAGCTTTCATTGTATTCTCAGCTCTATACTAAGACTTACTTACTCATAAAAATAGGGGTCTAGTAGCACTAGCTATCATTTGGGCAGGTAAGCTCCAAAAACAGCTCTGCAAGCAATCCTCACTTCTGCCCTACAACATGCTCCTGCATTTTCAGTCCTATAGAGGGCTCAAAAAGAACAGGAAAAAAAAAAAAAAAAAAAAAAAAACAAAAAGAAAACCAAAAAATGCACAAGCTCTGCCCATCTCCCTCATGACCTACCTGACCCCCTCTTCTCCTATTCTGAACCTGGGCGTCTTGAACAGGGGTACTAAAACATTATCCAGCCAATACTGCTTATTGTATCTTACGGAAATTAAATCATGGTTGGAAAAACTCCCTCTTAAGTCCAATTCACCTTCCAATTTTTACAAAGTTTCACTGCAATGGACCAATTCCCTCTGGAAGCAAAACTAAGACCTGTAGTCTAACACAGCAATTTGGTAGTATTTGGCTGTGACTTTTTAAAAAATATTTCAGCACAGAATCAGAACAGTTTTGTCTCAAATGACAATGTTTAAAGAGAGTTAATGTAAAGCATCATTTTCTCACCACATATTTTCAAGTCTTGACAAGTAACTGAACAACTTATCTTTTTGTTGATAAAAGATAGAGTGCAATATACCTTCAAAGACAAAGAATCTATACTTTTGCATTTACATCAATTTACATCAATTGCTGTACTTTTGCACCTATATCATTTTACATACTCCTTATCCCCAAACCATCATTCTGTCTGCACTAGCAATATTACTTTCTGTAGGATAAGGTGCAAGTTAAAGGATGTCACATTAAATATTCAGGAAAATGGAACATGACAGGTTTGTATTTGCCCACAACACCAGAGGTAATGCATATATTCTACTCCTCAAGTTTCTCTCTGCTCCCAAATAATTATTTAAATTTTTATCACTTATTTCAGTTTCTCAGGAGTTTGCTCTGAAGAAAGGAAGCTATTCTAATGTACTTAAATATACTAATCTCTCCTTTGCTATTTAACAGCTTTACTTCTTCCCTATCACAGTTCACAGGTATGTTATTCTCACTCTTGCCACTACACACAGTAACTTCTGTGACCTGAAAGCAAATTACATCTATGTTCACTCAAAGAGCAAAATTAATAGGCACACATTTGGGGAGGTCACACCTGGATTTCAGCCACAGCTGTTTGCTTTGCTTCAGCAAACCCACAGAGAGCCTGCCAGCTTTTCTCACTCAGTAGAGCATTCTCACCACTGCCTCACCCCTCCTGCTCCACACTTTTTTGCTCTACCCAGTCATCATGACAATGCTTTCTAAACAGTCCCATCCAAAACCTCATGAAATAAGGAGGAAGATCCTACATGCAAGTTTGTGGCACTTGCAGAAAACGACTGCAGGATCTAAAGTGTTTTATTTCCCCCTCCCTGGTGTAGGTTTGAGAGGCTCAGAGGTGTTGACAGGAGGGAGTGGGTATCTAAGCTGGACCTTTTGTCTCCTTTCTTATTGACTGCTTAACAGGTGTTTTAGCCTACCCTTTTCAGCAAAGCTACAGCATGACCTGTATTACACCAAAACTAATGTTTCTTTATTTGACATCTGAGTTGCAATACTGTAGGACTGACCAGTTGTGAGCCCCCCCCAGCTTACATGATTTTTGTAAACGATGCCATTCTAGTACCTGCCACCAACACCCATCACAGCTTCATAAAAAGAAGCAGCCCACAGTTCATGTGCTCCATTATAAGGTCTACTCTGCCGGGTTTATCCAAAGGGAGAAGCTGTTACGTGACACATCATGCTTGATACACTCAAGACATTTTAGCCGAAAAAACCCAATGTGCAAACACTGCCCAAGCTCCTTTGATGAAGTTCTTCATCTTCTTCTCATCAGGGAAAAAGGGGAGGCTTATAAGTTCAAACTCATGACCAGTTTTTGTTGGGTTTTTTTGGCAAGAGAAGTACATAGCAGCAGCAGTGAAGTAAGTTGACACTGCTGAACATTTGGTCTTGTCAAAAAAGAAAACAAAAATCCTGGAAATATTTCCTGCAGGAAGATTGCTTTTTCCCCGCCTCTTATCTTAGTAGTTGGCCCTTACACCAGTAACTTAAAATGATTTCTCATTTCATAATGCACGTCAGTCCAATTTTTCAGAGGATACAAATTTAGTTTGCAAGGAGACAGGCAGCAGGTTTGGAAGATATTTTATCTTGTCAGGAAGTGCTTTGGCAAAACCATATGAGAAAAACTGAGTGACAGATAAGCCTGAATGACTACGCTACGTCAGTAAAGGACTAAATTTAGGCTTCTAGACAAGGGAATTTCTCCAACCAGTGGGTAGACAGGGAGCAGCCTCTGAAAAACTTTTGAAAATTTTCATATAGTAAGAGAAGGGAAAACAAAAGAAAGACCGTACTGGTCAAAACCAAACCAAGATTGGTAAGGACCCTAATATAGTCAATTAGTAAGTTGGACTACTTGAATTGTAAAAATAAGGCGGGGGAAGGGAGGGGCTAAGGGAAAAAAAAGGCTAAACTGTGTTTTTTTCCTATGTTAGAGTACATCCTTCAAGCTGATGCCTGCTCTATGCCCCAGAAAGCAACTTCTATCTTTTCGAGCAAGTAGCACTTGCTCTACCAGACATCACAGATTGCAGTGAGAATACTTGGCCCTAGTGCAAGATCAGTATCTGGGCTGCACATGAACTGCCTTGAAAACCAAACTAACAAGAACAGGCAAAATATAAATCCCACCTCCCTTGCCCAGCTCCCCTCAGCCAGCACAAGAAGTCATGCTATGGGCACCCTCAGGGCAGGCAGCAGATTCTGCTACAGTAGCAGTTGCCTGTACTTAAAACATTCATATTATTTCTTGCAAATAGCGGAATCTTTTGAATTTGAATGTCTGGGAGGTTTATCACATGGTCTATAGCCATCCAGACACTTATTTTGCAGTGTTTCTGGAACTGTATTAAGTTTTCCCCTTAGGATAACACAGTAAAACCCCTTGTGTTTGCAATTTTGAAAGGAGGACATGAAATAAAAGTCCAGGTTCAAGCTCTTAAAAGTAACAGTGGTTTTAGATGTTACAAAGATCTGCATAGGTCAGTAAAATGGAAAGCTACTGAAGCCTTCTCAAAATGGGAAGGATACCTTTCTGCTCTGTTAAGCATTAAAGAATTAATACAGTGAATTGTATTAAAGTCTCTTCTAGAGAACGTCCAAGAAAATTTGTGCAGAATAACACTGAAGAGGTCAAATGACTTTGATTTCTCTGGGTATGGTAACATCTGACAGGGAAAGAAAGAAAGGGGAAAAAGAAGCATTTATTTGCTTTGCTGTGGTTCCTAAAACCTCAATCATGATTAGGGCTCCATTGGTTATGTGCTGTAAAAATGTCAATTCAAACAAAGTTTCTGCCCTGAAGAGTTTACAAGCAAGCACAGGCAATGGGATGGGAAACACCAAGAGCCTAAGCAATAAATCCTCTTCATCCACTTCTTCCATCTTGCCTTTAATTTAACCTTAATTAGTTCGCTTATTTCTTCTAGGCATCCCAGGCAAAGTATATATCTTGAGGACAAATCCAGAAGTGCAGCCAATGGTCCTCCAGATCAACCCAGCCCATGCACAAGCAGTAACAGTGGTCTTTGA